GACCTTACTGGCTTGCCCATAAGAATGGTTCGGTGTTCCCGGTTAGTAAGCCTATTTCCGTCATCATAGTCGTCGACAGCATGACATCGGTATTCAACGCCGATGCTTCATGCCGTACAAACTGCCGTACAACCATGATTCATTTGAAAGTCTTATTGTAAAGAAAAGAGTAAAAGTGGACGAGGAAGGGACTTAGTGCTAGCTTACCACAATCATTCCGAGGTGCCTACACCTCCAGACATTCACTCAGGCCATCTGGATAGAAACTGACAACAAGAACGCCACTAACATCTGTCGGCAGCCATATCTTGTAAGGGTCTCCAACCAGGCACAGTGATGATCCTGGAAGGCGAACAGCACTCAAGTGTTCCTTGATCTCCTTCATATTCTTCTGCCAAGTCAAGGGTTGGCCACCTCTCTGTTTACGCCACTCTGAACTGGGCATGGAACACAGCTCTCTCTTCGGCAAACGATGGTTCGGCATACGCAACACGTCCCAACCAACGCAGCTTCTGGTGCTGGACACATTCTTCTATGGAAGTACCCGTTGCACAACCGAAAACGCGCTTTCTAACTGCTTCATTACGGATATGCCGACACCAAGGAGACAACGATTGTCGAACACTTGAAGAAACCAGGTCCACTGCTCGAATAGGCCAAGTCTCACATCCATACAACAAAAAACCCCGTACTGTAGCTTGATACACGCGTCCCTTGAAATTCAGGGATAGACTATTCTGACGCCATAGGTGTTTCAAATTAGCATACGCGGTCCGAGCCTCGTAGATTGTTGCATTCACCTCATCTGTCAAACTACAATCAGAACTAATACAACATCCAAAATACGTAAAACGCTACACAACTTCCATTACCTCTCCCTAGATTGTAAGTGTCGTGTTCAGTGACTGCACGTCCGTGAGCATGACCTTCACTTTGTAGGTGCAAAGTGCATGCCAACGGACTGGATGACTTTGGTCAGTTCACTGAAGAATACTTGCACCTTTTCCTCCTCTTCGAACATGAGAACGATGTCGTCTGCATATTCCAGATTGACAAGGTTTTCTTCACAGGCTATTTAAACACCAGGGTTTTGGAGACCCTCCAGCGTTCGTCTCATTATTTCATCGATCACAAAGTTGAAAAGTAATGGAGAGAGTGGGCATCCCTGACGGACACCGCTTTGTGTATGGAAGCTTTTGTAGAGCTCCCCATACACTCTCACACGTCCAGAAGCCTGAGAATATAAAGAACGTATTATGTTTACAAACTTCCGGGGCATTCCTTGGTGGGCAAGCGTCTCAAAAAGCACAGACCGATCAACCGCTTGAGGGAATATACTCCGTCGTAAACCTCCGGGTCTGTAGGTGGTTCCCTTTTCACCTTCCAGGGTTCTACTTCACCTGTGGGCTCCAGATGAGTACCAGCTGGTGGCCACGACAGTTGTTGTTTGAAGTATTCAGCCCACCGGTTGAGGCTTTCTTCTTTATTCGTGATGGTCGTTCCATTCTGTTGCTTGATGTTTTCCAGTGACCGGTCGCACGGATCGACTCAAATAATCTTCGGGTATTACCTGCTTTCTGGGCCTCTTCCATTTCTGTGACTTTCTGTGTCCACCATACTTCACGGTCGGATCGCACGCTCACTTTCACTTGAAGTCTGATAACTCTTCGCACCGGGTTATGTTCGGGACGGGCTGGGATATTTCTCCGAGATTTAAGCAATGCCGCCGTTCGGTCTGATATCCAGTGCTTGAGTGCGCCTGGTTGGGTCGTGCCACAGGCAAAATTCCCAGCACTGCAAAGAGGTGGCAATCTCGTCCCAGTATGAGTCCACATCTGATAGTGGAGCATTTGGAAGAGACTCTAAAAATTCGTCTAACATCCGGATCCGCCAGTCTCTCAGTTGCTAAGCTGTTTTTCCGCACCTTACGTGGCCCAGGAAAACGTAGGGAGAAGCGACTCCGGACGAGCGCGTGGTCAGAGTCCACAAATGTGTTCCAAAACGATTGGTAGTCAGTCATTGATCCGCGCCATCGGTAACTGATGGTAACACGGTCGATTTGAGTTTGTGGCCGGGCTGCCGTTGGAGGACACCAAATGGACAGATGACCTCAGCCATTTCGGACGTTAGTACTGCATAAAAACAGCTTGTGATCAACACACATCTGAAGCAATCGTTCCCCATTGTCCGTACGTATCGAGTCCAGTTCATGTCGACCTCCTAATTGAGTCTCAGATGCACTAGGCCTTCCCACTTGCGCATTCATATCTCCGGCAACCACCACAGCATTTAGCTCGCCGCAGCAAGGCATTCAGGGCGTCATGAAATCTGTCTTTGATGACGTCGAAGCTACAGTCAGTTGGGGTATAGGTAGACACGACAAACAGGCAGCTATCAACTTGCCGCTTGTGAGACTCCTTCACAGACGTTGCCAGACGAACCGCACAGAGGCGACCATCAACAGGTATCCAGTCAAGTAAGGATGCTTCTGCTCGGTGACTTAGCACAATGCCAACCCCTGCACATCCCACCGCAGCAGCCCCTGAATCACCAGAGGTGCGCAGCCGGAAGCGAGTGGAGACTGACGGGGCGGTTAACCCAATCACTGTGCTTGCATCTTGAATTCTCGTTTCCGAGACACAGCACACATCAATGCCAACCGAGTCCAGTGTGAGTGCAAGAGCAGCTTGTAGTCCTGCTTGCTTCAAAGTGTGGACATTGAACGCGGCCAGGTGGACTGGGTGTCGAGGCTTGAGGACTGATTTGGCGATACCTGAGGATGTCGGCGCCGTGTGACGAGCAGATGTTGCACGCAAAACCGATGCATGACGAACAGAGTCATCAGTCATAAGTGCTGGGCCTACAAGGAGAGAGTTATTAATGGGGGGGGGAGAAGAAAAAGTATGTGAAAAAGAAAGAACGGAGGCGCCAGCAGTAGCCCGTTTTCGCTTACCCGCCCTACTGTATGCAGCAAGCAAGGCGACCCGGCTGATGGCACCACGCGACGGCCAATATGGCATGAGAGTATTGTTATTCGTGAAGGTCATGGTTGTACGAGGGCTCGGATACTGTCAGGGCGCCCATACCTGGACAGGAGGACGATTAGGGTCCTCAACCAAAGCCTTGGACTCAAAAGCCTAACCACAAGGCAGCGGTGTTTGGCGGGGAAATGCAAATGCCTTACCATTTCTATGGAACAAGTCGCCACATGTTCCAACCCCCAACCTGGAGGGCCAGGAGACTGCGTTCGTCAGACCTCTAGCCATTAACCAACTTGGTATGAGAGACTCTGTGAACGTCACGGGGACACTCCCCAGTGTAGCTCAATGGATCGCTGAGGCGCACAAACCGTCACACCATAGTAAGGTCTAGTCTCTTCGTGACGGAATTATTATTCAGCGACCTTCCTCGGAAAAAATTCGTTTTGATCCTCCCGTTGCTGTGAGGAAAACTGGTCTCCCAACGACAGGCGTTCCACGTATCACCCTTCAATCGATCCAAGCGTACTGTTACTGTCCTCCAAGTCGTAAACGACCTTTCGGAGTTAATCACCATCTAGAGCAGTACATTTGTGATCGTGGAGCATCACTAGTCAACCCTGAGCATTGTCCCGATTACGACTCATCGGCAGTATTGACCGGATGGTCCGTGGTTCGAACCTGACCTCTGCCTCTCGACTTCCCCTGTCTAGGCTTGGGCAACCTGGCAATATCCAGCCCTCGTGCCTCCTTCGTGTGGCATGGCAACTAGGCACCGAAGGGGTGCTACAGCTGAACGATTATTTATTTATTTACAGTATTGATTATATCAGTGGGGTTTGCGTGTTCAATACCCAGACTAGTAGTTTACCACTTCAGTGCAATCCGTATCATGGTCTACCGTAAACTTAGTAAACAGGTGTCCTAAGAAGGACCTATAATGCCGTAATTTGAACGGGAGCGGAGAAAGTCAGAAAAATAAATTGTCGCAATGGCATTTCGTGCATCATACTGTGCTTAAGTGTCGGCCAGGTCGCAAAGGGTTGTAGGACTTTGAACTGGCAGCGCTACTGCCATTGGCCGATTTTGGATAGTTGAAGTACGAAGTACCTTGCCAGCAACAACCGTTCAGCTGTAACACCTCAGTACCTAGCTGCCATGCCACCTGAACCAGGCTCGTGGGCTGAAATACTCCCACGGTGCCCAAGCCTAGACAGAGGCAGTTGAGGCGCTGAGGTTGGCTTCGAACCACGGACCTTCCGGTCAGTGAGTTAGTGCCTTGATCTATGAGCTTTCTCGGGCTCATTAACCTATCACCCTCGTGGTCGTGAAGCGCTAATTTCACTGACCGGTCTTGACAGCCACTGGTGCATTTGGCTGAACATCAACGTTGTTTGTTTTGTGGCTTCTGAATTCCTTACGTACTGCAAAAACTCAGCTGGAGCCACTGCGTTCTCCGTATTCGATATACTACGTTGTTATACCGCTTATTTTCATTGAAGCACGCAACTCCGACAGCATCAACCAATGCATGGTTTGTAACTTGTCTGTCGCTAGTAATGGGGATCCTCTTCAACGACTTAAGGTCCGGCACAGTCCAATTAAACTTCGATGGTAGGTGACAGGTGTTTGTGTGAAGACCCATGGAATTCTCTTCTTACAGCCGGTCCTCTCACATCGCGCCTTTTCATGTTGAATAGGCAACCCGACTACATTTATCAAGAACTGCAGATGTCACTGACCTCTCAGGTTTGAGAACAAGCGATAAATATCGCCAATAACTAGAGCCACGTAGATGTGGCGCGACATCCTAGTCCGGAAAATGTATACCCACAGACTTGTCAGCCCATCCTTACACGTCCTTTGTTCCATTCCATGCTCCTCTATTCTTCTGTCTGCCAGTTGCCTGTTTTTTGTTGCTTCTATTTGCTACACTTCGTTTGCATTTCGATGATAGCGCGACGATGGTAGTCAATCGCAAAACCCATGTGTTTCACGGTTCAAGGTCACCACCTTCGTCGACAGCAGTAGCGCAAACGTCCCACATTAAAACCTCGATGTGAGCCTCTGGGTGTCTGCTTTGTTGCCACTTTTCACAATTCATTCCTTTTGTTGTAGGTCCCAAAACTCCACACATCGTTCCACTGACACCAGTTCATCTTTATCTTGTGGGAGTTTGCCATTCCACGCCCGGCTTCTCGCCATGTCTAATTGGTTTCACCGAAATCCGCTGAAAGCGACTTCAAAGATTACTTTTGACCTGGGTGTCGTTGCTGAAAGTTTACATGCGCGCAGTATTTGCCAGTAAGTTACCATTATTTATGGGCTGTTGGTCACGTTATCCTTCTGATACATTCCTTACTGATAATAGGTATCAAGGTGAAGAGCATCTTTTTAGGAGTAGTCATTCCCAGAACACGAGCCATCGAGTGAATTTGAGCGAATTCAGCTCGCATTCACCACACATGTCCACATTGTCCCGTGGTACAACGAGTACTCCAAAGCCCTTCCATAATCCCATGGGATTGTAAAATGCAGGAGCGGAATGTTACAATCAGCGGTCCCGACTGTGACGGTCAGTGAAAAGAAAAAAATGTTCAGTTGTAGCCTCTGGGTGTCTGCTTTGTTGCCACTTTTCACAATTCATTCCTTTTGTTGTAGGTCCCAAAACTCCACACATCGTTCCACTGACACCAGTTCATCTTTATCTTGTGGGAGTTTGCCATTCCACGCCCGGCTTCTCGCCATGTCTAATTGGTTTCACCGAAATCCGCTGAAAGCGACTTCAAAGATTACTTTTGACCTGGGTGTCGTTGCTGAAAGTTTACATGCGCGCAGTATTTGCCAGTAAGTTACCATTATTTATGGGCTGTTGGTCACGTTATCCTTCTGATACATTCCTTACTGATAATAGGTATCAAGGTGAAGAGCATCTTTTTAGGAGTAGTCATTCCCAGAACACGAGCCATCGAGTGAATTTGAGCGAATTCAGCTCGCATTCACCACACATGTCCACATTGTCCCGTGGTACAACGAGTACTCCAAAGCCCTTCCATAATCCCATGGGATTGTAAAATGCAGGAGCGGAATGTTACAATCAGCGGTCCCGACTGTGACGGTCAGTGAAAAGAAAAAAATAGTTCAGTTGTAGCACCTTTTCGGTGCCTAACTGCCATGCCACTCGAAGGTTACACAAGTGCTGGAATACCGCCAGTTTGCCCAGGCCCAGACAGGAGAAGTTGAGAGGCAGAGATGGAGTTTGAACCACGGACCCTCCGGTCAGTAAATTTGCGCTCTAACCACTTAGGCCATCTCATGAAAAGAGCATAATGTCATGTTTTCAGAGCGTTCTACAGAGTAGTTATGCTAACTTATGAGGATAATTCGCAGTAAGAATATAGAGCACCGTAACACTACTGCAGTACCACACAAGTTCTCCAATAATTCAACTGTAGGGCATAATTTCGCATAAACCAAATGTGTCATTCACAGAATAATACAAGTCTTCGTTGCTTTGCGAACAAGCATCCATAAAACCCACCCGTTTACCTCCAAATAACCATCCAGAACACAGCTGTTCCTCTCTAGAAATGAATTCCCATAAATGAAACCGATTTATTTTGGTTCCAATTCGCTCACTAGCACACCTTTTGGGAAAAGCATCCCTACTTAAAACTCACGTTTTCCCAAATACCGGATAGCGAACTGCCCAGACATAACAAATATGTTCTATGTGCACAGTCCAGCCGACCAGGTGATCTCGGCCAAACCTTTGTACAGCGGCCATTGAATATTAGTTACTTCCAATCTGTCCCAGACCACGTCAGTTCCAAAAGGAGATAGCTAAATAGATTCATCCCCACTTCCTCTGAATTCGGTAAAATAATGCAAACTACACGCTGTGACTCGCGGATGGACGCTTCGTGGCGACACTATTTGCTGTTCATCTCTCTGTATCTTTTTGGACCAGATTCCGGTCGTCCCTGTCGAGGGGTTCTACTTTACGCCTACCATTTGTTTCGCGGAGTACCCTGAATATTGTAATCCATAGGCCATTAGACAATGTGTCGCAGAGCTCGAAATACACTAGCGTCAGTGTTTCGTCGTCATTCTTATTCATTAGGATTAAATTCCCTTTAAATAAAATTTTCCGTCCCCTCTCATAGGTATTTTTCACTGTTTAAATGCCGTTTACGTCCCCTCGGAGTCACGAACCTTCTAATGCCACAATTACCATCTTTCACATTCGTTTTTAGACTACTCATTCAAAGCTACCTATTTACGTGGTCACTAAGCTAGCTTTGTGTCCTCTAATTCTCTTCCATCCAGTGATTTGGCTTCCACTCGAATAAACCTGCTCAAACTTCTGGTTGATCCCGCAGTCACCACAGAATCTGTGTTGGGCTTAACGCAGCAGTACATTTCTTTGCTGATGGGATTCATTGAAGCAGCACCGTCTAATGAAGAGTCTGAAGATCCAGTTGCTTCTAACAAACTGAGGAATCTGGTCATGTTTAAATGGTCCAATAGTGCGGAACCGAAAAATGCATCACCCATGTATGGTTATTCTCAATTCTCCTCGTGACTCTGTATTGCTTTGTTTCTTCAGTATGGAGCCAGACGCCTTGTTCGAGGTTTGCTCTATGTTGTACAATGTGGCACTGTGGTTGACCAAGCATGCGGCAAAACTGTCTGCGAAAGATGAGTGAGTCAATCTAGTGTCTTGTCCCAGGGTTTTCTGCGAGTCATATCGCGATATCTTATTTCGGTGTTGTTGTTTCTTACGGATGACAGTTTTTTTTCATCAGCTGATGAACGATTTATCGCCATGGGATAGAAAAGAATCGGTCTTCGGTAGGGGTGCAGTGCACGCCGATTTTCAGTGGTTACTCTGCCAACCTAATGAAACTTCTTCATAGTCAGTCCAGTCAATTTAATGGTAAGACCGCGTCACCTTGTCGGTTGAGTAACAATTGTTCTGTTCATCTTCTCCCACTATAAAGACCACATTGACACAGCGTATCAAGAATCGTACAGCTGCAGCACCCTTTCGGTGCCTAGTTGCCATGCCACCCGAAGGTTGCACGGGGGCTATGATACCGCCAGGTTGCCCAAGCCTAGACAGGGGAAGTCGTGAGGCAGAGGTGGGGTTCGAACCACGGACCTTTCCGTCAGTAAATTCGCCCTCTAACCACTTGGGACATCTCATCCACCTACTACGAGATAAGCCCCATCATTGGTTGGTATGACATCGACACGACCTTGGCCGTGTCTGCTGTGCAACATGAAAAGTATGGTAGTTTTGGATGGTTTTAGTCAGCTTAATGTTCCATCATATCTCCACGAAAATCTTCAAGCGGAGCGGTCACGAGGAAACCATTCGTTCATGAATACGCGATAGTGTGTGAAAATCAAGCTGATTACGAATGCCGGTACCTGACTTTTTCAGCTTAGGCTGAAACGGAGCAACCGAAGGGTCTTAGGGCATTTCACTTTGAAACAACTTGTGGGTTTGGAACGCCTGGGCATAAGGGATATCATGTGGTTGCAATTGAATCACATGTTGGCCAAAGTCTCCCACAGCTTCCATACTTGTAAGGTTATCAGTGCCTTTGTAAATCTAACTAACTTCGTTGTCGCCGTCACATCAAGAGTTCATAATTTTACCTCGCAGCAGATGTATGCGCAGGCGCCTCATTGTGATTCACACACGATGATAAGTTGCACAGGACCACTGACAAATCGATAAGATCTTTGTTGTCGTTGACGGCAAACTCGTCCCGTCTTCACCAGCCATGCTGTTCCTTTCCTAAAAGTAAGGCAGAAAATTCACGTTGCGTAGTTCTACGGTGTATTCATAGAAGGCATCGTGTTGCTGTAACACCCTTTCGGTGCCTAGTTGCCATTCCACCCAAAGGGATCATGAGGGTTGGGATACTGCCAGGTTGCCTAGACAAAGGGCGTCGAGAGGCAGAGGTCAGGTTGCGCATCAGAGAGTCATCTTATGTCATGCTGGTTGTTCTCTCCCTTTTCAGAGTTTCCACAGATGAAGCCAAAGAAGTTCACACCTCCCTCCGTCATGCTGCGGGGCTTATCCAACTCATTCGAGATAAATACGTATCTAAGTTGAATTCGTCGCCTAAACCAGGAGATGACTTAAGTGCGGATGTGATGGAGGCCTACATCCACCAGTCGGTTGCCGAAGCACAAGAAGGTAGGTTCACGGAAAGTGTAATTGTTTCAAACTTGTTATCACCACTTCTCCATACGCAGCCATTATTGAGGAACATCTCACCCTGAACAAATGCCCATGTGTATGGAACCCCTCGTCGGGTGAAAACTTTCAGAAAGGCCATCATACACTGGGCAGTGTCATGTATCCTAACAGCAGTATTCTCCCGGCTACCTGGGGGGGGACAGTGATCAGCCCACCTGTCTGCCACCCACTTGGCATCCTGTTTTTTGGTGACAGTTGCGACCAGTCAAACGAGTCTTCACTGATTTTCGAAAATGTTTGGTGACAATCGGTAGATTTATTGCTGGGCAACGTTTCGCTTTTGACACAAAAGCTTCGTCAGGCCAAGTGACTAGGTTCCGTGGTTGGTCGAGATTCAAGGCGGAAGGAGAACCAGTCAGCTGAGTCAAGCTAAATCTCTGTTGGATGTCGGCCGAGGGATTTTTCTGTGTTAGAGTGGTTGAACAAGTGTTGGGTCGGTGGTAAAACCTACATGTGTTTGGGTCCAGCCTAGGGTCTAGTTCTTCTGGTTCGGTTCATTTGATGGTTCCTCTTGAACTTCGTTTGAACCTTCTGTCAGTCTGTGTGGGTGAGCTAGTGCTAAGATAGTTGTGTAAGAGAGATGCTGTGATCTTTGGTCGGGTTGGGATTTCCACCCCCATCCCCCGGTTTTTTCTAATGATCCTACGTGGATTGACAACCACACCGTCACGTGTCAACTCGGCTTATCTAAGACCGCTTTCCATACACACGCCAGTTCTACTTCCTCGATTCTATTCACGCTGTGAAGCTTAGTAATTCCCACCGCCTCGGCTATCAGCTACTGTGGTGTGAATCGCAGTCCCCGTCTTAAAACTTCCCCGTTCTCCAGATCTATTCTATGTCCCGTGTCTAAGGCATGTACCGCCATCGCTGAGTCTTTGACCAACGTTTGGTATTCTTCTGCATTCCTTGGTGGTTTGTTAACCCTTCCTTTCTCCTCCCCAATTCTGATGTTCACTTCCCTGGCAGTTTGTCCTA